CCCTCCTGTCCTCAGGTGTGGATGCTTTACCCCAGAGTTTGGTGTCATCGGTGAACTTGGCCAGCCTGCTTCTGACTCCAATGTCCACATCATTAGTGAAGATGTTGAGCAATATGGGTCCAAGGACAAAGCCTTGGGGGACCCCACTGGTCACAGGGCACCATGAAGACTGATTTCCATCAACCACCACTCTCTAGGTCTGACCACAGAGCCAATTTCCCAGCCAGCAGATCGTGGTGGGCCCAAGGCCGCAGTTGGCCAGTTTTGCCAAGAGGTGATCATGGGATACCAGATGGAAGGCTTTTTGAAGTCAAAATATACAGCATCAATCTCTTCTCCCTTGTCCAGGTGATAGGTCACCTGGTCTTAGAAGGAAATGAGATTGGTCAAGCAAGACCTACCCACAACAAACCCGTGCTGGCTATCCCTCAGGATGTTGCAATTGGCCAGTCCATTAAGGATGGCCTCTTTGATAATCTTTTCTAAGACCTTCCCCGGGATAGAGGTCAGGCTGATGGGCCTGTAGTTTGAGGGATCCACTTTCCTCCCTTTCTTGAAGATAGGCACCACATTGGCCTTCTTCCAATCATCAGGCACTTCACCTGAGAGCCAAGGAGCTGTTGAGGATCTGTGTCAGGGGCTGAGCTATGATGCTGGCCAGCTCCTTGAGTACCCTGGGATGCATACTGTCAGGGCCAGCAATCTTGCAAGGCCGTTCCAGCCCTAAACTTCTCTGAATATGTGAGATATAAGACTGGTCTCCTGCTAGGCATTCAGAGCTGCTGACCTCCATTAGGTGCTGCCAGGGGCCTTTGTCCTCACGAAGAGGAAGAGGCAGGGTCAGGGCTCCACTGACCCCTACACAACAGTCCACTCAACCGCTACGTGTGCCAGGAAGGGACATCCCCTTCTGTGACCTGCTGTCTCTCCTCAAGCATGGTTCTTATGCGGGACATTGTCCTTACCTATCAGTGCACATGAAGGGCACAACCAGACTTCCGGTTATCAGCTCTCCCAATTTTATCACAGATCCCACAGTCCTCAGCATCCACGCCTGGGATCCTGTGAGAGTCTTGGCATTTTGAGTGTCTTTCATGGTGGCAAGAGAAAAGTTTGCATGTACTACGTGTGCCCAGGGGCTCAGAAACCAGGAAAAATATAGGGGAAAAAAATCAGATTTAAAAACAAAACAAACCCTCAATATTTTTTGTTTCAGACCTAACTCAGGACTCCCAAGGACTGGTAATTCTGCAACTCATGCCTACAGCATCAAGGGCGACCAGACCAGAAGCAGAGATTGCAAATCTCATTTCTCCGGTGTGAAAGGGCTCATCTATTGCCCATGGTGCCCCATGCAGTCAGATCCAGCACAGCAGCCCGACTACTCGAATCTGTATTACCTCTCCACCCCCTTGAGGCATCAGGAAGTTCAAGCTCATGCCCAACAGCCCAGAGGGCTCAATACCCAGTTCAGCATAGACCTTTGTTTGCAGGGTAGGCTGACTGGTGCTTGCTGGCCCTGAAAAGCAAGGCCCAAGGACATCGCTTGGTCTTCTGCAAGGGAGGGGAGCCCAGGCCCACCCACTGTTCAAGGCTCAACCCCAAGTACCTTGTGTTACAACAGCTCAAGGCTGGTCCTTGCAGCCCCTCGCTGCTTCCTACCTTTACTGCTTATCAGTCTTTCTGTCTGCACTCCTCCTCCCACAGCAACTCTCAACCTCTGACCCTAATACTTCCTCACCTCCTGCCTCAATTCTGCCTCCACTGTGGCTTGTCACAGCAGCTGTTACTAATCAGCTGCTTGCTCACAGCTGGGGGAGCTAATTTGGTCCTTCATTAATCCCTCCAGGGTTGCTGCTATATGGGGTATATATATCTTATCTTATTAAGGCACTTAGGCATCCATGCATTTTTGTAAATCCCAGACAAAATTTACCCATGCACCAGCATTAAAACACACAGGGAAATGCTTTTAAGATAAGATCTGTGTCTCCTTCACTCCCCATCTGTCTTCATATACAAAAGGGGTTGTCATAATGAGGGTGGCAACCAACAGTTCTGTGTGTGCAGGGGACAGGACAAGAAGTAATGGGCTTTAATTACAACAAGGGGTTTTAGATTAGCTGTGAGGAAGAAGTATCTAACTCTGGGGATGATTAAGCACTGGAACAAGTTACCTAGGGAGGTTGTGGGATCTTCATCATGGAGGCTTTTAAATGCAAGTTAGACAAGCATTACTTCGGGATGGTTTGGACAGGGATTGTAGGCAAGTAGGGCTGTAAGGGACCTCACAAGGTCATCTAGTTTAGCCCTCTGCTCAAGGCAGGATCATCCATGGCTAAGCCACCCCAGCCAAGTGTCTGTCTAACTTGCTCTTGACCATTTCCAAGGATGGAGATTCCACGGTTTCTCTAAGTAGCCTTTCCAATGCTTGTCCCCTGCCTTGAGTAGGGGGAAAAACACGATTTCTTGATGTTCTTTCCAAGCCCGTGAATCTATGGATCTGCATTAGCATGCGCAAAACTCGCTCCTCTGTACTGAGCTGGTTAACTGTATAAAGAATAACCACTGCAGACATAACCACTAACTTAAGTATACAGCACACGTCATTGCGCTCATTTTCAGAAACACGTCCTGGTGCATGTATACCCATTCTCTCTTAATTATTAGTCTAGCCTGAATGCATTCAGCAACCTGTAATTCTATGATATAGTTATAGACATTGTGCAATTCAAGTGGCTGAAAGGATCTGAGATGAGGAAAGAGGGTCAATTCAGGCTAAATACAAAGCTGAGTGATTCATGATTTCTCTTTTTTCATCTGGCAAGAAAGGCAGGCGACTGCTCCAGGCTCTGAGTCCAGAGTAGCAAGCCAGCGGAGAGTTTTGGAAGTGACATGGTGTAAGTCTGAGATGCCCATGGTAAGCAAGTGAAGCAGGCACTGATTTACGCGGTGGCCCACGGTTTGCAGCTGATGTCACGCTGTGCGCTGTCCGTCCCCTTTTATAGGTATAAGATGTGACCATATCTACTGTGTGATGTTCTGAAAGTGTTCTGGATGTAGGTTAAAGCCTGGAAGTTTCTTTTATGGGATTGGCGTTTCGATGTTGATTAGACTATTGATTCTCACTGTGGAATCTATATCTGGAAGTGTTCAAAAGCGGGTTAGACAAGCACTTGCCTGGAATGGTTTAGACAGCCTCCCTGGAGCAAAGGGTGGGACCAAATGACCTCCTGAGGTCCCTGCTTTTCTGTGTTTTTCGGGGACAACGGTATTATCTCAGAATTCTTTCTGGCGTGCCTCAAGATTAAAAAAGGATACTTAAGAGAATTAGGTGGATTTCAAAATGCCGTGTAAGGTAGAAGGAAGACACTAGGGGTTTCTTTGTGAACTGCTAAAATCAAGTTGACCATGGTTTGATTGTACCTGTGAGGTGTGTGCATATGTCTGTGGATTTGGGGTGGGGATGTGTGTCCCACTGCGGGCAGCCACTCAGTAAGGGTTGGTTTTAATGTTCTAGTTTGATTTGCATTGTGCCATTCAGCTGCCCATCCAGAGCTTGGGTAAGCTTTCTGCTTGCCCAGACTAGTGCATGCTGTTCAGTGGCTGGGTATACCAGGGCTAGAATCGCTAGTTGAAATGTGTACCCAATGGGAAACGTGTGCCCACAAGTTTGGGGGTAAGACTAGTCCTTGCTTTTTTTCTTTTTGCGCCTCTTCTCCAAATGAGTCTTGCAGATCAAAGCTCTTTCTAAAGCCACATCAAACTGCTTCAGATGGGGCTCCCTTTGGACGTGTAGACCACCAAGGTAATGCTCTTCAGCAGCCGTTCTCGTTTGGTGAAAGCTTGTTCCCAAGGCTTCAGACGCAGTGCAATAGAGATCCAATCCTCTTCCATTATCTTAAGGTTGGGGGAGAGGGTGTTGCTGACAGTGATGAGGGTTTTGTCTTGACTCACAAGAGCAATGTCAGCAGGATAAATGAGCTTACACGGGATTGTGTCTGGTAAGTCACATGTGTTGGTGTTCAGTGATGAAGGAATCAGCATGGGCCCTTGTAGTCGACCACTGCTGAGGGTGCAGGCTTTGCTGATCTGCTGATTCAAAGGGATGTGTAATCCCAGGCTGCTCAGCATTGTAGCTAGGGGTTACAAAATGCAGTGGCAGTTCATGATCCTCGGTGATATGAGCAGTAGCCCGTAACTCCATGCTGTGTCATATGTGACAGGTAAATCTCCCAACTCAGCCTTGCTTTGAGAATCCACTTTTGCTGGTTTCCCATATTTGAGGACTACGGCCTTACACCAGTTCTTTCTGAGACCCTCCTTGACACAGGCATAACAGTGAACAGGTGCCAACCAGGACCACTTTGTCCCCAAAGTCTTGGGGAAGTTGAGATAAATGCCATCCTTGTCAAGACCTTGTCTATTTTTCAGAAGCCGTACGGGTCTTATTTGCTTCCTCTGTAGCAAAGTTTCTCAAACCGGGTTATGCAACGGACTTCTAAGGATGGGAAGGAAGAAAGAATGGGAAAGCAAAAGAAGAGGATGGGGAAATATGGAGGGAACAAAATTGAGAAGTCTGCATTACCGTATGGCCCCTCTGCTGACTTGAAGTGGCACTTTTTTTATCCATTGCACAAGAGTTGTAGGTTACACAGCAGTGCAACATCCAAAGGGTTGTCCTGACCCAGAAAGGGTTTGAAAGCCACCGAGCTGAAGCGCGTAGCAGACTCGGTGACTCCCTGGGTACGTGCGCAGGGTGCCAGGCAGTGCTGCATGCAGCTAGCCTGAGCTAATGCTGCGTGTGCTGTCTCCCAGACCAGAAAAGGACATGCAGATTAGTACTATCTTGAGTACTGCATTGCTACACTGCTTTCAGTTCAGAGGCCAGCCAGCTTAAAGCTACCCAACATATCTCCGTACAGCACTGACTGCCTTGTAGGCCTGTGCAAAGTGACTAGCATTTGCTTCGGATTTGGCTGATTCGGGGGACAGCGGTTCGATGCGGTGATTTGAATCACTGTCCTGAATCGATTCGGCCAGATCTGATTCAGAGACTGGGCTGCTGCTGAATCGCCGAATCAAGCCGGCCCATCCCCCGCCTGCTCTCCCAGCCCGGCAATGGCTGCCCACCCGCCCCAGCTCCCAGCACTCAGAGCCTCCTCCAGCCCCCCCACTCCCTACTTACCCGCTCCGAGTTCGGCTCCAGCTCCCTGCAGCGGTGAGCAAGGACTGCCCGAATCATCAACGCTCTCCGAATCTTTTCTGAAGATTCAGAGAGCTTCGAATCGATTTGGACCTTTTTATTGGTTTGATTAGCACTTGGAGATTCGGCCACCAAATCGGGCCGAATCTCCTCCAAATCAAGTCACCGCGCAAAGCTTCGCGCAGCCCTACTGCCTTGTACATCACAGGCCTGCCTTCAGGAGTGAGTCAGTCTCTGTCTGCCAGGAACAGCTGAAAGCCTCGAGTCAGCTGTTGCATTGCATGGCACATGTTTGAGGACAGGAGCACAGGGAAGCACAGCAGAAAGCATTTTTAAGTCTCAGGGAACCATCTGCAAACAGACAACGCTGCTTTCGAAGAGGCAAAATCATTGTTCCCTACCCCACAAAATCTGGTTCCTTCTGTCCTCATTAAACAGCTTCTCGTAGCGACCACGTTTTTGGCTTTCTCTCCATTATTACTTCTTCTTTTCCTCAGCAAGCGTCCCTCCCACGGACAAATGAAGTGATGCTGTTTGATGTAGCACAGCACCTGCGCTAACTCTGACTGCAGCAGCTATTAGCGAGTCGCAGGCCGGTGTGAATTGACACGCCAGGAAAGAATAATGCAAACTCCTATCTGCCAGAGCCACAGCAGAATGACTCTCACATCCCCTCAGGCCCTTGCTTGCATCCAAGGCCTGTTCTTGCACAGAGAAATCACACACACACATGCACACGCACACACACTCATGCATGCACACACATGCACACACACACACACACGCATTGAGCCTGCTCGGTCGGACTCTGCACCGGTCACGATGAGTCTTACTGTGAGAAGGAGTCCTCCTCTCAAAGGAAACAGCCAGGGAAATGCAAGACTTCTTGGGCTTTCAGCTATGGCTGAGGATGTCTTGGCTTCAATCAGGTCAGTCTCAAAAATCCAGTTGACTTTGGTGGAGCCAGGATTTGACTTCACACCTCCCTCCATTGCCCACGGGGAAAGCATCCATGTGAATCAATATTTTTTAACAACTCCTCACGGTTCCAGCCAGAACCGAGGTGCCGTTGTGTGTGGCACTGGATATACCTATAAAGGGATACCATTTCCTCCCAAATGCTTAGAGTCTAATGAAAGGAGTGGGGGAAAGGAAGCGGCATTACCCTCATTTTACCCACAGAGAACCAAGGGACAAAGAGCTTTGCTCAAATGTCCTATAAGAAGCCTGGGGATGACCTGGAAACTGAGCCCAGATCTCCTGAGTGCTGTAACCACAAGGCCATGTAGGACAGTATGCTTGCCCAGTGTGCTGGGGTAGCACCCGGGTGTTTGAATGGTTTTTTTATTGGTGTGACCTGTTGCTATGAGGGACAGATGTCTCAAATGTATTGGGAGATGCTCCTCATCTCTTTTGTCAAGGCTTGTCGTCAGAAGGAAATAACCCAGAATCACTTCTCTATGCTAGTTTCCTGTGTGGACACTCTTACACCAAGTGTGGTTTTTTGGTCCCCTGTGGAAGTGGCTTCAGCTAAATGGCAGAAAGGGGCAGACTGAATGCAGGGTAAGAGTGTCTGCACAGGGGCCAAAGTGAGACCAGCTCCATCCACAGGTGTAGGAGAAGAGCAGAAAGCTACCCTTGGATCCTCCTCACTCTTGAAGGGCAGATGTTTTGGCATCTCTACAGCTGGCAGAGGGTACCCCACCTGGTAAAGAAAAGTTTTTTTTAAAAACTCCTGTCTGCTTTTATAAGTTGTTTTGCCTTTTATTGTGACCCTGAGTCACAATAGACACAAAAGACCCTGAGTCTTCTGGCTGGGGAAGGGTGGCGTATATGTTTCATAAATACATAAATGATGCCATCTATGCCTATAGCAGACATTGCTGAGACCTTCCTGCAGAGGTCCTGGAGAAAAACAGGAGAGATAAATTTGACATTCAAAGGTTTTAAAAAAATAGGTAAAAAAAAAAGAAGAAAATTAGGCATGTTTATAGAAGCAAAAAACAAACAAACAGAGAGATGCCAAAAAGGGTCATCGGCCCCATTTCCTTAAATCCTTCACAAGTCACCTTTTAAAAGCCTCTCAGTTTTGCAGCCCCTTAAAAACACTTCATCTCTGTTCACCATTTTCCTGTTTCCCTTTGAGGTACAAAGTCAGCTACAGGTTTCTGTGTCAAAGAACAGCAGGCATTTGATAGACTACAGGCATTTGCCAGTGCTCATTTCCATCAGCCAGCTGGACCCAAGCCCAGTGCCTCCAGATTTACAAACCCATTGTTCAAAAAGCACAGGTACTTGAGGAGCAGAGGTGAATGGCCCATCTGAATCCTCCTCAGTGGCCAAGTCACTTCTGTGAATTTCTGATTAAAGCAGTGATTAACTTTGTCCTTCGTCTACTGATGCTCTCTCCTAAGGAAACATTTGCCTTGCTAGAAAAAAAAAATCATCAAAATATGGAAGAAGCAATTAATCTAATGCAAACATTTGGGGGTCATGGACATTACTGCTGGGGAGAGAGGACCCAGCTGGTTATGTCAAGCAAGCCACTTCCCACAAATTTAACTACACCTTCCCCAGGCATGTGAGTGTGACCCTGACTTTGCACGCCACCTCCCCTGAAATCAGTGGACGTTGTGTCTGTCCGGTGGCTGGACTTAGGCCCGTAGTTCCCAATTCAGCAAAGCACGTATGAACACACTGAGCTCACTGAGTTATCACCTTTCACTGAAAACATATCTGTGTTGCTGAACTGGCGCGGATCTAGGCCGGGGTGGGCAATTATTTTGGATGGAGGGCCGCTTACTGAGTTTTGGCAAGCTGAGGGCTGCATGACAGGCAGCCAGGGGCAGATAAATACAAATTTTCTAAATTTTTAGGGGCCCTGCAGGCCGGACAGGATGGCCTGGTGGGCCACATCCGGCCCCCAGGCCACATTTTTGCCCACCCCTGAGCTAGGCAGATGCTTCAAGCTAAGCATGTGTTGAGCGATTTGTTGAATCAGAGCCGTGATGATCTTCTGAGGTCCCTTCCAGCGCTAATGTCTATGAAATCTATGAAATCTATGAAAATCCAGCGTCCTGAGCATCGCTGAATAGGAGATATTGGCAGAAGAACCCAGCTAGAACAAAACAGGGCCTGAGGTGAGAAGAGGCACTTTTGGGGATGCTTTTAGTAGAAGATACAGAGGTCATCAGGCGACCTCTAGCCGGTGGAAGGCATGGCTGAGGGACTCAGGTGCTTTAGTGCAGAGCACAGCGGACACACACAGGCACCGGGCTCTCAGGACAGCATGAGCATGACTAGAGACTCCCTTGCTCTTTAGCACACTGACCTCCCTCCAGTCTGGAGATGCCCTGCGATGAGTCAGTCGGACGTCTACGTGCGGTGCTGGAACACGCTGTGGTTCTCTCGGACAAAACAGCCAGGCAGCTGCTACCCAGCAGTGAGACCAGGAAAGCAAGGAACAGGACTCAAGGTTGTATATGTGACTGAGAGTCAGAGCAGCTGATAGAGCATGTGTGGGGCTTCAGGAAACCCAAGGCTCCACTTCCTCTCTCTTGCTTGTGGAGCTACCGTGCTCCTCGTGTTTTGTGCTTATCTGCCCTCCCCCTACCTCCCAGTGCCTCTGGAGTCATTAACAAAATTGCCCATTACTGGTGGGGCCTGGGGTGGATTCAGGGGGTGCGGTGGTGCAGTTGCACTCCCTTTGATTCCTACTTCACCCAAACTTTAAAACCAACAGCGTGGGAGGTGCAGTGGCATTTCTTTTTTGGCAATCTGGAGTGAATCAATTGACTTCATGGCTCATTACAATCTACCTGATCCCTGCTAATCTTCCTTCACTCCACCAGCTTTAACAGCCCTCTCCCCTTTTTAATGATCTTGATGTTCCATTAATCAAGCTAGTCTGTCTTCTGTAATGTTGCTGTCTGTTAGCCATTCCTGGTACTTTCTCTCTTGTTTCACAGCCCTGCAGACTGTGTTTAGCTCTAAACTAAAAACTTTATCTCAGGTGAGACGAATAATATTAACTCAGATGAATAATAATTCAGGTGTGGAAATGACTGGTCCTCAAGAAGGCTAGATTTTCCGAATAAAAGATGCACATTTAACTATAATGACTCCAGGACTAATAAAACAATTTCTCTGGACTATTTTTTGCTTAGTTTGTTGTGTTTTTTAACTTGATGTATAAGCCAACAAATTAGTTGCATACCTATAAAGTTATATGTGCTTTTGCTTTGATCTTAAGCTGAATAATGTGGTGCTAGGTTCCTACTATATTATTAAAGCATCTAGTTTCTCTTTAACTGGAGAAAAATGTGCATTGTGTTATACGTGAGGATGCACCACACAACCTGCACCCCCCTTGTCAAAGTCTTAGATCTGTCCATGGTGGGGGCTCAGTACCTCCAGGAGGGTTAGGGGTTGCATTTGTGGGCATGATGGCTGATGATGGCAGGGGACCTCCCCCAGGTCAAATGAACTGGCTGAGCGAATGCTCTGTATCTTGCTGGGCCTGTTGTGCAGACAAAGCAAAGATGGCTGGGAGGAAGGCGGGCCCAAGCAGGTGACACGCACATGTGAAGTATGTGCCCTGCCTCCCTTGAATGCAATGATTCTCAACCAGGGTGCTGTGGTTAGCACTGTTAGGCATGCACACATGATTCACCAGGTAAACCCAGAGATTTCAACTGGGAATCAAGAGTGGTAAAAACTCTCTGACCTGTCAGGATCTTTCTGAGGTTTTTTTGCAGCAAAAGAATTCCTCTGGTAGTTTTCTGTAGTCACAAAATGAGTGAGAGCTAAGAGCTGGCATATTCTGAGGGGCAGCTTGAATCTAATGAAGGGTGCTTTGAGTCTACGAGGGTTGAGAACCACTGCTCCAGTGGCGGGCCCAGAGAAGATAATAGACGGTTACTGCGGCCACTTAAAGAAGTAGGATCACAGGAAAGTAGGGTTGGAAGGGACTGCACAAGGTCATCTAGGCCAGCCCCTGCTCAAGGCAGGATCATCCCCAACTAAACCATCCCAGCCACGTGTTTGTCTAACCCGCTTTCAAAAGTTTCCAAGGATGGCGATGCCACCGCTTCTCTTGGCAGCCTGTTCCAATGACTGATCACTCGCATGATCACAAAGTCTCCTCTCCAGCCTAAATTTCCCCTGCTGCACCTTAAGGCCATGGCTCCTAGTCTTTAGCAGCATTATAGTGACTTTAGGTCAAAAGAAAGAGCCTTGCACTTTGGGTGGTGAAGGTCATTGAAGTGTCACTTCCGAGCCTTGCACTTTGGGTGGCGAAGAGCCGGTGTCACTTCCGAGCCTTGCACTTTGGGTGGTGAAGAGCCGGTGTCACTTCCGAGCCTTGCACTTTGGGTGGCGAAGAGCCGGTGTCACTTCCGAGCCTTGCACTTTGGGTGGTGAAGAGCCGGTGTCACTTCCGAGCCTTGCACTTTGGGTGGCGAAGAGCCGGTGTCACTTCCGAGCCTTGCACTTTGGGTGGTGAAGAGCCGGTGTCACTTCCGAGCCTTGCACTTTGGGTGGCGAAGAGCCGGTGTCACTTCCGAGTGACTGTGGAGCTGGTGTTCTGGCCGCCTGCTGTCACAGACAGGAGCTTTCTCTGCCAGCCAGCATGTTTCGGCACATCCACCACATAGACTTCCCAATGCTAGGCTATTCCCTCTGGCGACAGAGCATGCTGCAGAGACTCAGCCATGTGCTTTGTTGTTGAAGCATCTCCTTCAGTCCCCTGCTCAGGGCAGGATCATCCCTAACTAAGTCATCCCACAGTCACAGGGAGGAGGAGGAGGAGGAGGAGGAGGGGGGAGTGAAAACTGTGCTGTTGCAACCAGAACAAAGCCAACAAGCACGAATGCAAGCCTTTAATCTATTATTGCGGGGCTTGTTTTCACTTGTTCCCCAACTGCCTGGGAAAAAGTCACTCCAGAAAAGGGAGGTGGCCTCGCGCCAGATCATTTCCCACACCCTGACCCACATTCCTGAGAACTCAGCACTGCAGAGGTTCATATATGGCAGGAAATCCCTAAATAACACTTGACCAAGGGAGCTGGAGAGTGAATTTCTCCATAAACATTTCTGACAGCTCCCGGTCTGTGTTAGTATGAGACCCCAGAGAAAACCCAAGTGGCTGAGCTGGGGCTGTGCTTCCTGGCTGTGACAAAAAAGGAAGTTGGCTTCTGGGAGTCACTGACCAACAAGCACCATTAATCTCCCCCTCGCTGTTGCCTGCAGACTGCCATGTGCAGTAGGAAGGTCCAGACTTGTTTGCTGGTGGTCAGCTACTTCACCTACCTCTTCTTGGGGGCCATCGTCTTCCAAGCTCTGGAGAGGGATGCCGAGGAGCATGAGAAAACGGCGGTCATCCAAATGAAGCAGGCCTTTCTGCAGAACTTCGCCCACCTCACCGTGGGGGACGTGGAGCAGTTTGTGAAGGTAAGACAGTATCGCCGGGACCACATGGGCTTGTCCCCCAGCCTCTTTTTTCCTCCCGGCGTGTTTCCTGTTCTGCACTGTCGCTACGTCTTTCCTCGTGGGAGCTCAGTGTCCAGTCTGAATGGACGGAGCAGGTCGATCAGTGAATCAGCTCAACAGAGCATTGTCTATCGGCCAGCAAACCGCACGCCCCAGTTCTCAGACCTGCTGCTCCAGCTTTATGCTGGTTGACAGGTGGATCTCAGTGGATTATGCTCATGCGCACTTGTGTCCTGGCACAAGAAGGAGGTTCACAGGTCTCTGTTCACTTCCCTTGTGGACTTTTCTCAGGGACAATACACCAGGTTCAAAATACCTGCTAAAAAGTATCGACTTAAAATAACCTCTCCTACTAATCTCGATCAAGGTGACTTGCCCTATTTTGGTTGGCAAATGGAGCAAGCAGTCTGGGCAAGGAGAAGGAGCGTCTGGGCATGAGAATGCAAACCGAGCACAGAGGTGACGTCTCCTCATCCAAGCCCTTGCCTAGCTCTATCTGCTCTGTTGCATGAGAACATTAGGGGTGGTACCAGCCCTGCTCGCAGTGTGATGGGTCTTGCAGGGCTCGTCTGTGGAAAATAAAGGAATCACTGATTCATGCTCCACATCACTCATTTTTAACTCCCTTTCAGCCATGATTCTGTACTGGGGAAGCAAAAAAAGTGCCTTGCCTAAGAGAGTGGAAAGACATCTCTGCCAGCACCGCAGCATGAATTCAGTCGCTCCTGATTCTCATGGACACCTGCAAGAGCAGGGGAGCAGAGATGGTGGGAAATCAAGCTGGAGAAATTTATCCCGTGTGTGTCACTTCTAGCCCATTTCATTTCTGGCATTTATCTAGGCTGCTTCTGCAGTGAACCCGCTTGAGTCCCAGATGTCCAGCCTTGCTCCCTCCATTTGTTAAAGGGCAGGGGCAGCTGGATACAGCTGCTTCTTTTTCAGTTTTATCTTAAAATATGCACGTTACTTAGATTTAGGACAGGGAAAGCATGACGGAGCCTGCAAGCTCCTCTTTGTAATTACTGTGCATATGGGGTCTGGAACAGCAATGAGTGTTTTGGGCACAGTCTGACCGCAGTTACCCTTCCACTTCCAAGGCAATTCCAATTTTGCAATGGCATTCCTCTGCAGTTATTTACTTACTAGATTTATCTGCCACCCTTCCCAGGAAAAAACCATGGGGCAGTTTGCAATAAAAGACAAACTATTTTCTTCGTGTCCAGTGACAACCAAATGCTTCTGAAAACTTGCTGCTTGAAGTTGCCTTCTGCGCAAGTTGCAATTAGCAAGTGCATTTCTTAATGACATTTATAGGGTTGCAGAGACCCTCAAACACATGGCATTGCTTCCTTTCTTGCATAGGTTCATACATCATACAACATCCAGACACTGACTTCAGCATAACAGAGCTGAATCTGGCCTTCACCGTCAAACAGGATTCTAAGTCAGTACCACCCGTGGAGTCGAAGTCATCACTGGCGTAATCCTACCGAAGTCAGAATAGTTACACTATTTATTCATGTGGTCCTTTCAGCTGTTCTGTCTGGTAGGAGATTTCCACCATGGGCTTAAAAAAAAAGGCATCACTTCACATAGACACCCTGCTTGCTGGGTTTCTCTTTGTATGCATGCTCTATGAATAAAAAGGGATCTTTATTTCTTCTTTAAGGGCTAAGAGAACCTTTCACTAATTGTATTGCATGGGTAAGAACTCCAGATGCCGTATCCTGACCTGGGCACAGGTTCATATAGGAGTGAGCTCAGTGCATGGGACAGGATTTGGCAAAGGAGTGTCAAGTCTCCCTGATGGAGCAGTAGCTGTACTCCCTTCTGGTGGTGCACCGCAGCCATAAAGCTGGATATCCCTTGTATAAGGTGAATCCCCAAGTGAGACAAAACTGGCCCAGGACTGAGGCTGGGTGAAAGGAGCACAGCTTACCCACAGGTATCCTTTGGCAACCCTGAGTTGCTGGAACTGTTCTTCGGGGTCATTAGCAGCTAGGCATAACCTAGAGCAGATTTGAGGTTGCTCTAAGCCAGGGATGAACAATTATTTCAGGTGGAGGGACCGCTTAGCGAGTTTTGGCAAGCCATCGAGGGCCGCATGACAGGCAGCCAGGGGCAGATAAATATGAATTTTCTAAATTTTGCGGGAGCCTCGCGAGCCGGATAGAATGGCCTGGCTGGTCATATTCACATTTTGCCCACCCCTGCTTTAAGCTGTGTCGGGGACCCACAATGATGGCATAAAGCCACCATTTCTTCTAGTTCTGTCTTGGGGCAACTCAGAGAGATGGCAGAACCTGGATCAGGATACTCTTCACTTACCCCCACGTCACCTTGCATCAGCTGAGGACTTTTCACAAACCCAAGCACGGCTTTCGTGTGATGTGCCATTTAAAGGCTCAGGGTCGGTATCTGGAAACCTGCACTTAAAGGACTCAGAGGTCCAGATCCCATTCCAGCTATTAGGTATTCAAGTGACATTTAAATATCTAAGAGTGAGCTTATTAAGACCGGCTTGAGTCCCTGAAGCCATCAGCACAAAAGGTGGGTGAGTGCCTTTCCTCCTCCCCACTTTCTTGAGACTTAAGGTGCAGATGAAGGCATGTCACAGAAGTCGACAGGCTAAAGGTTTTTCAGGGACTCAAGTGGAAAGGCATAGGGGAGAAGGAAGACACTCTGAGTGGGTCTGTACCACTTCCATGGTGCCCTGGAGGAGCGCAGCCTATCCAGCTCATCTCATGCACCACACCTGGAAATGAGGGAGTGAAGCCACTCGGAGAGCTTTGCTACCTTCTCTCCATCTCTGCTGCATGCAGTGGGCAGGGCTCTGCTTCTTGGTCCCACACTGAACACCACCACGGAAACAGGCCTGTATCTCTGACAGCCCTGGCCTAAGGGCAAACTTCTCCTGCTTCCATGGTGCTGTTGAGTGTGGGGACAAGAAACAAAGTCCTGCCCACTCTCTGCATATGGGGCTTGCCCCAGCCAGTCTGGGACATTTGTTGCACATGGTGCCTGCCCCAGCCAGTCCCGGATGTGTGCTAAACACAGCACCTTCCCTAGCTGGTCTGAGAAGCAAGGCACATGTAGTGCCCATTCTGGCCAGTCCAGGACCCACACTGCACATGACACCTCCCCCCATCCCCCTAAAGGCTGCCCTGGCATGGGTGCTGTGTGCAGCATGGGTCCTGGACCTGCCAAAGTGGGCACTGCATGTGTGGCATCTGGTGTATGGAGGGAAAGATGTGTGGGCCTGATCCAGCTGGCAGGGCTGGCCGTGCACCACTGATCTGACCCACAGGGCTCAATGAGTTGGACACCCCTGCCTTAAACACTCAAGTGCCACAGAGGCATAAACGGTGGAACAGGATGAGCCCCAAAGCACTCAGGTTCATCTTCACAAAATAGTAGTGTGCATCTGCAGAATCATTTACAGACAGTATGAGTAAATTAAGCCTGAGAGATCTCATTAACAAGAAGCCCTGCATCCAAGAGAAACCCTCACGATACATTCTTCCCCTCTATTTTTCTAGTCTGAAAGTCAATAAGGTCTCCAAAGCAAAGCAATGAATCCTGTAGCAGGCCAGTCATTTTCATTACCTTAGAGCTCTGCTAATTGCTATCATTTGGCAGACTAGCTACAGACCATAATACATATTGAACTAGTAGCATCTGGCACAGAGGGGAAAAACGCAGGAAGTGGAATAGCTCTTTTGTTGCTTCCACATTTGTACAGTCCTCTATATGCAGGAAATGAAGCTAGACAGTGCCATACAAAAATTCAGACATTAGGGACCATTTCTGAGAGCTGAACAATGGAAAACTGGACCTCCCAAACTACTGCGGTTCAAATACCATATGTTCTTGCATACAACACCCTCCCAGAATAAAATATGCACCGTGTTTTTGAAAGACAGACTGAATTAAAAAAATGATCTTTCCTTGTACTAATTAACTAAGTAGCAGCCTCTAGGGAGCTGAGCCTATTGTTTTACTCCCTGCGAAGTGTGTGAAGATTTTACTTTTGCTTAGTAACCAGCAGAAACTACTCTTACTGTATTTCTTACATATACAGGGTCTCCAAAAAGTCCTTGTGCACTTCTAAACTTTAATAACTTAGGGTGTAGGTATGGTAGAAACAATCTGTAAATGGCATTTAAAAGCACATTGATGAAAGTTTTAGGACAACTAGAGTACACCATGCTAGACTTCGTAAGTAATAATGAATTTATTCTTAAATAAGTTAAAGCTCCATGCCACTACACTCTGAATGTATGACAGTTCCTAAATGACTTTTCCCCAGAGAAGTGGATAGGCAGAGGTGGACCAGTCGCTTGGCCACCTTGTTCACCTGACCTGTCGCTGTTGGACTTCTTTTTATGGGGACATGTTAACAGTGTAGTTTACTCTTCAAAACCATGTTCTTTGGTGGGACTTAGGGCTAGGATCACTAACGCAATTAGTGCAGTAACTCAAGAGCAACTGCGAAACGTTTTCAAGGAGTTGGGAGACTGGATTGAGCACTGTATCATGATGGATAGTGGTTATGTTGAAATCTAGCATTGTGTACTCTAGTTGTCCTAAAACTTTAATAAATGTGCTTTTAACTGCCGTTTATAGATTGTTTCTATCATACCTACAATGTATGTTTTTAAAGTTTAAAAGTGCACAAGGACTTTATGAAGACCCTGCTCCCTGGGGGCTGCTATTTAGTTAATTAGTACGAGGAAAGATGTTTTTTTTAATTCGGTCTGTCTTTCAAAAACAAGGTGCATATTTTATTCTGGGAGGGTGTTGTATGCAAGAACATATGGTATTTGAACCCCAGTAGTTTGGGAGGTCCAGTTTTCCATTGTTCAGCTGTAAGAACCCTGCAATTTTCAGCAGCTCATTTTTGGGGGGAAAACATGAGTTGTATGTGACGAAATATGGTACTAGATGCAAGGAGCAAGCAACCGACACGAGCAACACTCAGAAAATACCCACACAGGCAAATTAATGGACAGGGAGGTGAGCTGCCTTGGTGTATTCCTCATGTCTCAACCGATGTAGGGAAACAAAAAATAATACAAGATCTTATTTAGTGCTAAAGAAACTAGCTCCCGTGAAATCCATTCCAGCACCCACTGACCCTCGCCTGGCAGGGATACGGCACCGGGAGTGAGGACTGGCTCCTGACAAGCATGCGACTCCCCAGCCCGCCCCTGAAGGAGGCAGAACCGCTGATAGCACTGACTTGGCAGCACAGCCATGCAAAGTGCCTACGTGCCCCTGCCCTGGAGCACTCGCGGGACAGAGGCCGGTTCCTCTGTCCTACCGCCGTGGGCACTGAGAAAGGAGGCACAATCAAACCAAACCTCCCTTTCCATTGCAGAACCTGACCGAAGCCATTCAGAAGGGAGTCTATCCCATAAGGAACGAATCACAGGTTGAACAGAGCAACTGGGATTTCAGCAGCTCCTTCTTCTTCGTGGGCACGGTGGTCTCCACAATAGGTAGGCTGGCGGGGCAAGGCAGGGAGGCTCACCCCCTTCTGCCTTATTTTCTTTTTATAGCCTTAAGTGATTGCACTTTAAAGGAGATCAACTACACATGTTCATGGGCCTGGGCAAGAGGCAGTGACTGCCTTGATCTTGAGGCCTCACAGCTGCTTTATGTACCGTTTGGGTTTGAAAAATAGCAATGGTCTTGCATAGCTCAGTCTCCCACTCTGCCTCTTTTACTAGCCGTGGAGTCATCTCTTAAAATCTTGGCTGAGTGGTTAGTGGTGGGTCGGAGAAGGACTTGACTTCCCTTGGTTTTCATTCCAAGGTCAAACAAGTTGTAAATCATTTCTGTAACTGCTGCAAAGCATAAAAAAAAGATAGGAAACAGCTGAATTCAGCTGGGCCGTCAAGGTCATAGCACCGATACGCACATGGACAGTGCATGGATTAGATTAGCTTACTCACAGCTCCTTCTGCTACCAGTGGAAAGAAACGGAAGGGGGGCCAAAGCGAATACCAGCACTTTTCACTACTCACTGAAGCGCTGGGCGGTGCTGGAAATGGCTGCAGACCAAGGCTGCAGATTTCCAACCAAAAGCAAACAGGCATCCAGAATAACATGTGGCCTAAGGGTCTCCAAGGAACCCGCAAAGCCCTTTTACTGTGAGCCAGAGTAGTTCATGCAGCCCAGTGGACGGCTCCTGGGATACTTTGCATTGCGGCAATTATACTGATAGAATTAAAGTGATTCACTTTTGCAAGTGGATCCACCCTTAATTCACCAAACACAAGTGAGGTGGGTTTCAGGCTCAGCTATGGCCAAGGGGACTCAGGCTGCACTATTAGAGTGTGGTTGCCTCTTCAGTCTGGGCCTCAAACCAGAGAAGGAATCTGACCCCATGTACTGCTGGTTTGTTCTTATTGAAGTGCTTATTCCTGGCAGCCACTCCACTCCAGGCTGCGATCCCATCAGATCTCACAAGCTCAACAGGGGCAGACCAAGGCCACGTTTTTGTCTGGCCAGGGAATGCAAAAGAGGTACAGGCCGACCAGCAGAGGACTCAGCTCACCTGGGGAAGCTGTATCATGGATGCAGAAGTGGACCCAGGATTTTGAAGAGGGGGATGTGGAAGCAGCAACTGGCATTGGCAGAGGTGGCTTCACCCACTGCTCCCAGGCTCCTTGGGGCCCTCGAGGAAAGCAGCCTGCACTGTGGGATCAACAGCTGGGGATTTTTGAAAGTCCCCAAGGCAGGTAAGAATTCCTCCCCCTTCCCCTCTCTGCTCAGAGGCACGTCCCCTCCCTCCTCTCCCCACAGCTCACCTGCCGCTGAAGCTGTCCCCATTCTCCTGGGGACAAGGGAAGCTCCTGTCCAGCCCTAGCTGGGCTTCATGGGGGCTGGGCAGCAGGTGGGGGCCCCCCTTCCCTGTGCTTGCTCCTGGGCTGGCAGGGAATACCTGGGAAGACCAGGCAGAAAGGAGGAACCCACCCGCTATTGTTGGTGCTGTTCCAGGCTGAGCCTGGAGCGGGACAGGTGCTCCCCTTCCCCTGGGACAGTGGATGCAGTGGCAGCAGTAGGCAGGGGAGATAGACAGGGGGGGGACTTGCTTCTGAGCACAGAAGGAAAGGGGACTGGGGAATTATTACCTTCTTTGGGGACTTGAGCAAGTCCCCGGCTGCTGTTCCTGCCATGTGGCAAGAAAGGGGACGAAGCTGCACCACTGCACCCGCTCTGGATCCACCCCTGCTGCACATGTATTGCAATACTGCATCCTCTCCCAAGCACAAGAAGTTGTGTCAGTAAGAAGCAAAGTTTTGCTGACAGAGCTGCAATTACCCCAGCCGGCAGAGTCTTGTTGGCTGTGCTGATCCTTCTCTCTCAAAAGACTGCCCTGCCCAGCAGGCTATGGGCAAGACTAGTTGCGGGGGAGGCCCTCCATGCTTTCAGCTAAAGCTGCCCCCCTGGGCAGCCAAGAATGCATGAATCATGGAGCCACGTGGCCAGCAAGCAAGCGCAGCCTGACTCTGCTGCCTAGTGGTTTGGGCCTCCGGGATGGGAAGGCCTGGGTTCAAAGGACCATCCATACGCATTACATTAGACAGGCGTGGGATAAAAATAGAAAAAGCCACCACCATGGCAGCAGGGACCTTTTGGCAACTTAGTCACTTCAGTTTTTCCCAGAATCTGTTTTGGTGCCTATTGGCCAGTCTGTATCTGGCCTATCGCTTTGGAGAACACTTTACTAAGAGACCTCCGAATAAAACCCAGGGTGCAATAGGATACGGTGTTGCACGCTCAACGGATGACAGGCTTGTATTAAGCCAAGACTGTACCACAACACTAAGGGAAGCTGGACTTTTGGGATGAACTGCTTTTGGTGAAGCCTAAAGATGAAGTCCTGAGCATTTATAACAACCACAGATCCAAGGGTGGCTTTTTGCAGTTGCGTATGAATGGTGGAGTTGGGGCCAGCATCCACTTTCTGGCTCCTTCCAGGCTCCCCTGCAAGCAGGTAGATAAAAGGTGGCTACGTTTCAGGGAGGGTGAACTGACATGTGGATACAGGCACGTTTATAGAAAACTTTAGAGCTCCTTGGGATGAAGGGACCTATTATAAAGTGATGTATGCTAGTCTCAACTTTTGGAAATGGTCGGGATTCCAGAGATATCAATAGCAAGCCATAGGACATTGTGGAAATGTATGTAGTATTTTAGTCTGTAAATAGAGAACAAATTGGGTGACTATTTCCATGTGTGACCCCAGATCCAGGCTCTTAGAAGCTCTGGGACCTGTAATGTGCTGCACTGTAATACTGAAGGGGCAAGAAATCCGATGCGCATTAATATGCAAGAATGGAGCTTGTCAGCGCCAAACCATCGAAACTTCCGACGTGACGTCTTCCTCGGCCCCAGACTTCTGGTTTCTGTCTTTTCATGCTGTGTCTACTCACACATTTCTAGCCTGTTTGAACGTCCTGACTTAAGTTTCTACTTTAAGTTCACCTGGAGGCCAGACTGGAGCCTAACCCAGCACTCTCCAAACCCTACTGCTGAGTGGGTCATTTAGTCAGTTTGCTTGCTTTGATAGGGAAGAGTGGGTGGGGGTCTAGTGAGCACTAGAAACGCTCTTGATCTGCTAATGCTGTGAACGCACACACCGGTTCAACTTGATTAGAAGCACAGATACCAAGGTTTTGGACATGATCCCTAGAATCCTTTTGCCTTCCAATAGGTTACGGCAAGCTGTGTCCCAAAACTGCCGGTGGCCAGCTCTTCTGTGTCTTCTTTGCTTTGTTTGGAATCCCCTTGAATATTGTATTTCTGCACCGTGTGGGCAAGATACTTTCACTGCTGTGTAAAAGGCTGGGGAAATGCCTGTATGAAAAGGGAATGAAAAAGGTAATCCACTTCATGTATTCCAGGCTTGTTTGTGCGCTGACGGGTGGGACTTCCCAAGCACGAGGCATCACTTTACAAACGCGTACGAGGAGAGGACCTTTGCTCTGGAGACCTGGCTGTCAACAGAGACAAGACAAGGGCAGGGACCAGAAATAAACAGACGAGGAAAATACGGGAGGGATCACGATAGGTGCACGACTCATTTTGGTCCCATTATACAAACTAGCTCCCTCCTCATGAACTGGCTCTCCTTGTTCAAGGCATGGAGCCGACTTCTCTCCAACTCCCCAGTGTGTGACAAACTCCCCCCCCCACCCCACAAGATGTAACCCATTTTAGCCCAGGGATGGGTTTCCTGGGGCTGGGGCTGTCACGGCTGATTGTTTCCCAGGGTCTCTAGCATGGTGCGCACACTCTCCTTAGCAGAGAGTTGAGCCACAGTTCATCATGGGAGATATCATCCAACCCTCTGCATGACTGGGCCCTTGTCTGCCAGCATCACACACATGAAAACATAGCCAGCAAAATCCACACAGCTCTACCAGGAGAAGGTGTCTTCTGATGGCAACATTTCTGTCCTACAGCAGAGCTAGTTTAACTGCATGGGCAGAAAACCTTCTCCTGACAGAGCTGTGGCCATATCAGGAGGCTTGGCTGCCTTAAGACATTGCCTTTGAGAAGCAGCGGCCCTTCCTAGCACATAGCTTATGGATCAAGCTCTGCCTCCTGTGCCCCTAGGAAGAGGTCCTCTCCAGTTCCTCATCTAGGACACCTGTATTGTGCATAGCTTGCCCTTGCGCCTGACTGGACTGAAATTGGATTTGGTTTATTTTTCAGAAGAAGACCAAATTTCTGACCCTTCTGTTCTTCCTGGTGATGGGAATTCTAGTGTTCCTGTGTTTGCCATCGCTCGTCTTCCAGATCGTGGAAGGCTGGTCATACAGCGAAGGAATATATTTTGCATTCATCACCCTAAGCACCATCGGCTTTGGAGACTATGTAGTAGGTAAGGGTGCCTCTTCTTTCTGAATTACAGCTGGCAGAGTTACTCCTGTGAGGACAACTAGGACTACATCAGGCAAAGCATGAATAAAGTGCAATATGAAACTGTGTTTCTTTCCCTGGGTTTTGCAATTCCTAGTTCCCATACTGCTCCCAGTGGGTCTCAGATCCTGGGGAGTAGCTCAGAGTGGGTCCCATGAAACTTGGTGCTTTGCAAAGAGGGAAACTATATTTGGTGGGACAGGAAGTCTGGAAAGTGGGAGAAGGCGAGGGGAGAATTGGGAGTCTCCTTCTTACAAAGTTCTATGGACCTATGTGCTCTGATCTCCTGAGTTGTGTGATTCATAACATACAATAAAGACATAAATGGGCTTGTTTTAAAAGACATCATTTTAACGCAATGCCTTTAAGAACCCCAGTCTATCCTGAAGAGTGAGCAATGGAAAAACTTTTTTGGGAGGGGTGAGCGCATATGTATTGTTCCACTGTAAATGGAGAATGATACTCATGAGTCACCACAGACATGATCTCCTTTCATTCCTTACGCATCAGCAGAGCTTCACAGACAGCGCACACATGCTCTCCTGAAGTTAAACCATGTAAAAAACCATGCTAGCTAAGCAGAATCAGGCTACAAACACTCAGGAGGGCTACACATTAACCATTCTCCTATCTGATATTTTTGGGGGGTCAACTTTGAGCTCAACTGGCACCGAATTATGGCTGAAGCACCAAGATCTTGGGGACCGGAGTAGCTGACTCTTGAGGTTCCTCCTAAACATATGGTTCAGGAATCTCTGAGTTTCAGATATTTGCCTCACCAAAATATTTTCTTTTTGCTGCTGTAATGAACCCCTGAAAGAACGCATAATAGACTCTAGAGTCCAAACCATTGTCTGCAAAAGTGATCAAATATCTGGATTTTGTAGACGTTAAAGGATCCTCTGGAATACTTGTCTTGCCAGTGCCTTGCAAACCAAAATGTCCTCTCTCATGAGAAGGAAAAGCAAGCCACACTGGAACTGGAATTTATAATATCAGTGGCTTAAGTGCACTTAGTCTAGAGGCCTCATTCCAGTTGTCTGTGGACAGGCATCTGCCACAGAAAAACAGCTCCTCCCAAGAGACCCTTTAGCTCAGCAGAAAGACCAAGAAGGGAAGGCCATGGAGACTGGGAGGACCATGGGAGGATTCTCCCTAGACCAGGCTGAGACACGCTGGTAGGATGACATGAGTGAATTTGTACAGACATTGCCTGCACTTTACCTCTTTTGTGAATGAACAGGATGTCCCAGTCTCTAGGGCTGATGATTCAGCTTTTCCACAATGACTTACCATATTTACTTGAATCTAAGATGACCTGAATTTAAGACAACCCCCCAATAATTAAATTCTATATATGCAAAAATTTACAAATTTGTTAGAATTTTCTAGGTATAGAAACTAATTATCAGAAGGTTGTCTGAAATTCCTTCTCCCCACTGCTACAACAGGCAAAGCACTGGCTTACTCCCCAGTCTCCGCCTCTTCCCTCTCCCTGCACCCCACTTACTGTCAGATGCTGCTTGATCTCTGTTCCCTCCCAAGAGTACAGCACATGGAAGCTCAGTCCTTGCTGGGCCATGCAACTATGTTGGCACTTGCTGACTGACTGTGCAGAGGACAGAGTTTGCACATGCTCCATGCCTGGAAGGAAACCCATCCTGAGCCGAAGCCAAGCTGCACCTGACAATAAGGGGTGGGAGGGCAGGAAGCTGGTGTGGCGCTGACTTTGGCCCTGACCCGGCCACAGCAGCCACCTGCCTTCTGCCCCCGCTGCCCCACCTCCCCTTTGTGCATGAATCTAAGATGAGGGGCTTTTTCCCCTGTCCTGATGGCAGGGGCACATCCAAGATTAGATTCAAGCAACTATGGTAAGTCATGCCAAGGGAGAAAGAAGTTAGACTGGAACATTGAAACACCATTTGTTCTCACATGTAGTTCCATAGGATTTAAGGCCATTGGATACATTTGTAATTCACTTAAATGTGTAACATGACTCCTTTTTTTGACCTAGTGCTTACTATTGTCACAGTCATTGGCTAGCTGCACCTCAATTATATGCATAAACTCTTCAGCCCGCTGTCTGCTTTGTAACATAATCCTTAACTGAACCGGTGAAACCAACGAGAAGCGATCAGTTGCAAGGCTGCTATTAGAGGAATAAGGTGCTCGAGAAACAAGGCAGTAAGCCCAAATGAGGTGTGAAACACTTAGCAGGGGCTGCTTCTGAAGTTACGAGCACTGTTAACTGTAAGACAAGGTGAGTGCATACTGCAGCGAAGCATTTCTTCGGCTCCCAAGGCTAGGCACTTAAACAAAGAGCACTGTAGATTACAGGCCATTAAATTTCACTCAAGTACTCCCCATTAATCCTAAATGCTTTTGTTAGATTAAATATTTCAGTCCTCAAAAACTAAAATGTCTGCAAGAGTTGGAGCTGGAGAGACCAAGATGCCATCAATACCTGTGACCCCAGCAATGGCAGGGAATTGACCCGATGAGATATATCCTGAGGATCCCTACAAGTGAACTCCACTCCACTCCACAGAGCAAGGTGAAGTCTCTCTTAGGTCCCATCCACTGTGACCTGGGGGGAAATTCCTTCTTGATCCCAATTCTAGTGACCGGTAGGATCCTGAACAGAAAAGGAAAACAGCAACCAGGCACCTGAGAGGATTCTCCACACGGACTCAGAGCATGGGTCCACCTTGCTCAGTTTCTACTCTCTCTAGCCATGGGCAATCTCCGTTACTTCCAAGGAAGGTGTTAAAATCCCAACTCCAACAACTCACCAGAGGAGGGAAAACCCCTGATTAACTGCCTATAGGTTTTATGGGCTCGATTCTCTGTGCAGCTTAATGATTGCTGACGTAAAGTCACCAGGGATGGGAGGCAAGCGGAACCTCGTGGGGTAAAGTGCAGAGAGACAGAGACAACAACACAATTAGCGCAGATGTCTTCTCCTCCCATCTAAATTAAATGGTTGTGTTAAAATAACTGCAGCAAATGACATCCAAAACAAGGTGTGAACAGCGCTGTCGACATGTGTTGACACACCGTGCTGTTAACGCACTTGGCCAACAATACTGATGCAGAATTCCCTGCCCTCTATTGTCATCACCCTCAGGAGGCTGTGGCTCGCTGCTGTGGGGATGTTGTTCCTGCGCTATACAGCAGTAGCAAAATCACAGGAATCAAACCTCATACCAGCTCAGCGTTATAGCACTTATTCCTGTTGAAATACAACCCGGGCTGCCCTGACTAAGGTGTGTTAGATGATTAAATGATTTGCATTGCTGTACGTGGCCAGATCTAGAAAAAACAATTAGAATATCATTTGCTTGAGCTCACTTGCACACCACAGCCGTATTGGCTAAAACGTGGTTTGCAGCTGTTGTGATACAGCAGTCAGAGCATCACCCTTTTCTGTGATGGGAGACAGCTCAGGAATCAGCTGCCAAGCTGACAGCAGTGGGTTTGGGATGTATTGTAAACATGTATTAGGTATATGTAAAATATGTATAAATATGTATTTAGGGTGGCATTTCTTCCCTCTCAAGGAAGGAAGCATTACAGTAAGCACCACTTAAGCTTTATTTGAAGCAGTTGAGTGGTGCAAAGATTTTGGATGGGCTGTTTGCACCAGGGGAAAATCCACCCCCAGCCCCCGGAAACCTCCTCTGAAGCAGTGACTTCGATTTGTTTTGCTAACACAGCCCAAGTCCTAATCCTGGCTCTCACCTTGAGCCACTGAACCTAGAAGCTCCCAGGGCCCAGGGAAGAAATGGGCTCTTCTCAGCCCTCCAGCTGCTTCGCGGCTGTTCTTGCAGCTCCTTTGCCAACACCACCCCATCAGAAACAGGCCCAGCAGCCCCGCTCCTTCTGGGCAGTGTCACCACATCGGTCTTAAGGGCTGCTCCATGGGCACTGCAGCTTCCATCCCACTATCTCCAGCTGTATGTATGCCCTGTTCTACTTGCAATGGATTAGCCATGAGAAACCTCTCAGCTGTGTACCTCACTGCAAACTTCAGTCTTCAGAGGGAACCTTTACCGCTGCTTGAAACGATGCTTGCAAGCAGACATCCAGATTGTAACTGAAGAACAACTTGTGAGCATGGGGCAATAATAGTAAGGAAGATTTGCTCATGATTTCTCTGCTTTCATTGTTTGTGGGGCCATATTAGAACCAAAAGAAAGTCATCTGTATAGCAAAATCACTAGGAAAAATTGAGTCGTTATAATTTGTGCTGCAAGCAAGCGGTAGATAGCAGTGGATCTGATACCAAGGCAGGTCAGTCCTGGCCACAGGTTTAAAGGAACCTAAATACATTTTTATTGGCAGTGCTCACTGCACAGCCACATTTGCAAAGGCCAGACCTGTTATTTGGCAGATTACATGCCTGACATGACAACGCTCTGCCCCAGTCAAGCAGAAGTTAACATTTCAGCAAGCTTTCAGAGATGTATTATACAATTAAGGTTACATGGGATTCAATGCAGCAGGGGCTCAGCTTTTAAAACTTGGCTGGAGCATTGCTTACATCTGAAGACCCACATTAAATGACCTGGATAGACAAGCAGGTGTATAGCTCCCAGTGATGCTAAAAGGTTTGGACTACATGAAATACACCTCAGTCCAGTGGTTTCAAATGCAGGAAGCAGTGCAGTCAGTATGTGGCAGAGAGTTTTCAGCCATTGTCTTCATTTAATTTATTTCCTTAAAATAAATTTCCTTACTGGGGTAAGCCTTGAAGCTTTTAAGAAGTAACAACAAATCATAAGTTTCTCCCATATGGCCAAAGATGTCTGCTATTTAACATAGGTATTTATCAGGTCACAATCATGCTTCATTAGGCAAATGTTTGGAGCTCTTATAATTTAACTGGTAGGTCTTCTCCAAGTGGCCTGTTCAAATGCACCTGTCCCCTGCATTCTGGCTGCAACTGAAATGCATCCTCGAATATCTTAGTGCTAATATAATATGCCACAATGATGGCACCACAAATGACTGTGTTTTCCAGACTAGTTTCCTGCACTTTGATGTAATAAATCATTTCTTCTTTTGATAGCATAGCAACTGCTATGGGGTGGCTCCAAAGAGGATGGAGCTGGACTGTTCTCAGTGGTGGCAGGTGACAGAACAAGGAGCAATGGGCTCAAGATGCAGCAAGGGAAGTTTAGGTTAGATACTAGGAAGAAGTTTCTCACTAGGAGGGTGGTGAAGCACTGGGGCAGGTTACCCAGAGAGGTGGGGGAAGCTACATACTTAGACGTTTTTAAGACCCAGCTAGACAAAACCTTGGCTGGGATGTTATGGTTGGGGATGGTCCTGCTTTGACCAGGGGGTTGGAAGATGACCTCCTGAGGTTCCCTTCCAGCCCTCATTTTCTATTATTCTGTATTTCCATGAAGCAGCAAGCTACATTATAAGCAATGCCTTCTGTGTATTCAACTTGAAATGTCCTGATCAATAGGCTAGCTCGGTCCACTGTATTCAGGCAAACCACATTCAGCTGCTTTGTTAACTCTCTCCTGTTTTTCCTCCTTGCCTTTAGGTAAGCAGCCTGAAAGGCACTATTTTTCCTACTACCGATCTTTTGTGGCCATTTGGATCATCTTTGGCCTGGCTTGGACTGCCCTCCTCTTTAATTTATTGATGATGCTCTTAGAAGACACGGAAAAGAAAATCGCCAAGGATCTCCATAAAATGGGAAAGGCGGGTAAAGAGAATGAGGAGACCCTAAAAAACTACCAGCCTGCTGGACTCCTAGAGGAAGGACCCTTGTCGCTGGACTCTGGAGGAGACGCACGAGACTGCGAAGAGGCGAAGCTAGAGAAAAATATGTTTTCCTTAGAGCGAAATGTTGTACGGTCAGATTGAGATCGGATTGAAGAGTCGCTGCTCCAGCGTTATAAGGACTAGACTGAAAGGAGAAATTCCTATGGGACTATCATTTCTCCCACAGATGGGTAGCCTTCCTCTGCTGTGGCTCTAATGGGCATGTCTGTATGGCTTCTCTGGAGCCCCGAGAGCCCCGTTTTCAAGCCCGTCCTGCCCCCCTGCTCCCACTCCACAGGTGTCCAACCTGGAAGGGGGGCAGGGGCCACCCCCTTGAGGGCACTCCCTTAAGAGCAGCAGCAAGGACGCCCTCCAAGCAGCTTCACTGCCTCATTTCTGGGTTTGGCAGATGCAGAGCAGGCATGGGGAGGCAGCAGGGCCTCGAGACTGGGGCTTCTGGGAGTGCCCTGGAAATGGTGCAGGCACGGCCAGCGCAGCACGAGCCAGGGGGTAATAATGATGCTCACTCTGCCCCCCCAGCTAATAACGCATAATAAAGATAGTTGCCCTGGAGGCTTACACGAAGGCACCCACCGTGGGGAACACCACCACCTAGTGGCATCACTGCAGGACTGACGCACCAGGTCTTCCCATTCCGGTAGTGCCGGAGAGACAGTGCAGCCAGGACGGATGGTCCAGGAATTATATGAGAAGGGAGGATTTGGGGAGCTGAGACCTTTTACTGGACCAGCTTCACAGTTGGGATAAAGCTAGGTGAGCTTTTGAATGCAAGGCATTCTTCATCAGTTCTGCCTTGAATTTAAAAACTTGTCTAACTTTACCCCACCCATGCAGTTGCTCCAATAAGAAATATCACCCCCCACAAAAATCCTTGCCTCTAACAGGTATACATCATTCCCAGTGTATGACAGTAGTCATAATTGGCCGGCAGGCAAAGAAAGATGCTGGCAGAATGGCAAGACGGAAGCTCCAGTCAGGACCAAGAGAGAGCAGGGGATAAGCAGGGGTGGAAAAAGCAGAGGTCTGGTTGGAAAACAGCATGCTCTGCTTTCTCCCATTTCAAGCCAAGCTGAAGACTTTTGGATTAGGTCCTTGCAATGCTGACTCAGCCACTGGTTCAGTTTCTCGCCAGAGAAAGACACTTTTGCATTGATCAAAGCATTTTCCAATGAAGAAGTCACCCACCCCACTTGTATAGAGGCCCTAGCTTGACGCATTCATTGCCTGTGCCATCTCAGCTATTGCCTTAATTACCTTTCTACCTCTCTGGCTGGAAAACAACCTTCCACATGTGCTCCCAATGTCAGTGCCTTGTCTTCCCAAACCTGAAA